CATGAATGACTATTGGGTTCCCATAAATTATAAACTGAGGAAAAGCCATTTGTTCAATTATGCATAAAGTTCCTTTAAACAGCAAAGTTCTCACACTTGTCACCCTGCTACCCAAGGATTTAAAATAGAATTGAACTTATAAGACTTTGATTTATATCCAGCTTTGTGGGAATTATTCTACTGCTGATCCACCCACATCAAGGTAGAGAAATAAAAGGAAAGTGGTTAGGAAGTGAGGCCTCTGGTTCTGCTGGGGGTATGTGAACACAAAAAGGAGAAGGTTGCTGGGCGCAGTGGCTCACACCTGTAATCCCAGCACTTTGGGAGGCTGAGGTGGGCAGATCACAAGGTCAGGAGTTCAAGACTAGCCTGGCCATTATGGTGAAACCCCGTCTCTACAGAAATTAGCCAGGCATGGTGTAGTTTTAGGTACTTGGGAAACTGGGGCAGAAGACTCACTTGAACAGGTAGAGGTTGTAGTGAGCCGAGATCATGGCACTGCACTCTAGCCTAGGTGACAGAGCAAGACTCCGTCTCAAACAAAAACAACAAAAAAAGGAGAAGTTATAAGAAGTTATAACTCTTTGACCCTCTGGTCTGCCACCCTTTTTCATACTTGCCAGCCAGAAGGGAGCCAGCCCCGCCTGGCCAGAGCCATTGGCTAAACTGACTCTTTATTGGCACCTACAGTGAGCAAGGTAACATGCTCCATCCTCAGCCAGCCTCTAATCTAGTGGAGAGATGACAAGGCCAGACCATTTTATTACCAGGCAGCCAGAGAGACATGAAGCACAGTTTTACAGGTAGTAGTAGCGGGAGATTGGGAGTACGTTCACAGGTGGAAATAAGAGGGCTTTGCAGACCAAGGAAAGTGCCAGCAAAGACAGGAAGGCAGGCAAGCATAGGGTGGCTTTCGAGAACATTAAGATGCATTCCCTCTTTCCAACTTGATTAGAAATTCCGGAAAAGAAGGAACTGCATATGATGATCCCTGCAGGGCCTAGTGCAGGATTATGAATGTGGAAGGGGCTTGCAAAATACTGTTTTTGGGTGAACTTCTCAAGTTAAGACATTTCCCCAGGGCAATGAGGCAGGTGTGTTGAAAGGAAACTGACTTGTGACTAAGTACCCACTACACCAGTTTCCCATGTGTTGCCTCTCTGCTGCACATCCTCCCTTAATTTCCCTGCTTGTGATAACTGAAGCTGAACCTGTTAACATTGCCCTTGTTAAGCTTTGTCAGTAGAGAGCGATGGAGAGGCATCACTGGAGGAAGGGACTTCTCTTCCTGGTTCTGGAGTGCCTTCCTTTTTTTTTTTCCCTGACAAAGCCCACAAGTAGAATACCTAGTGACTATCACCCCCACAAAAGTTCAGGAGCACCTTGGGGCAGCTCCCCAAAAAGTTTCCCAGCTAATGTTCTCCTCAGTAACCTCCTGGCAGGTTCAATGGCAGGAAACTTCCCAATGAGTTTGGTTCACACCCAGCAGTTGCCAGGGTTGACCTGTTTGACCTTGACCTCAGCAAACTGTTAGAGTTCTCTTTTACTCTCAAAGTAGTAGCCAATCCCCTGTTCCTAGTTAATAATTCGTTATATTCTATCTTCCCTGTTGGAATTATTACATGGTTTCTGTCTCCTGACTAGGTCCTGACCAATACAATACTCATACGTGTACATTCACCCACATCCCTGCATACTCCCTGCTCCCTCCTCAGTCTGATTTCTCCAGTGAATCCTTGGAGTATCTTGAGTCAGCTCTTTCTCTTGGATAGTACCTATATCAGCCAGGGTTCAGCCAGGAAAACAGAAACCGCACTCAGTATTTCAAGCAGGAAGAGACTGAATATGGTATTTTAGTATGGAAATCCTGGCTTCACCTCCTCCTAGCTGTGTAAATGTGGGCAGGTAACTTAGCCTCTCTGCAACTCAGCTTCCACTTCTATAAAGATAGAAGTAATAATAGTACCTAACTCATAGTTTGCTCTGAAAATTAAGTGAAATGATCCATGAAAAATTCTCAGTGCCTGGCACCCTGGCCTGAGTACCTAATAAATGTAAGCTGTTATTACTGTTACTGTTATAATCTTCTAAACGCTTCAAGATATCTGAGGAAAGTGTTCAAAGCCACAACAGAGTCTGAGGCTGAGGCAGTCAGAAAAGAAAGAGGACATTTTTGCAGTAAGATGTCCGTCCCTGGTTGAAAGAAGACTAGCCTGGATTGGAGGTGGGGGAGTGGCAGGATATGAACAAGTAGCTCAAAGAAACCTGCCTGTCCTCAACTTGAACAAATTATACATACTGAACTTCCTTCATCTACGCTGAGCAAGGTCTCTCCTCCAGACATCTTTTTACTTTTTTAGTTGAAAAGCACTTTGGGAGGCTGAAGTGAGAGGATCACTTGCATCAGGAGTTTGAGACCAGCCTGGGCAACATAGCCAGACCCCATCTCTGGGATCAAAAAATCAAAAATCAGAAATTAGCCATCATGATGGCATGTGCCTGTAGTCCCAGCTACTTGGGAGGCTGAGATTGGAGACTTGCTTGAACTGGGAGAGGTCAAGGCTGCAGTGAGCCATAATCTCACCACTGCACTCCAGCCTGGCTGACAGAGTGAGAATGTCTTTTAAAAAATTATATATATATATATATATATACACACATACACACACACACACACACATAATGCATATATATATCATATATGCATATATAATCCATATATATTTTATATATATTACGCACATGTTTAAAAAGAAGTCAAAGAGTTCAAAATACTATTACAGTTAAGAATTAGTCTCCTTTCCACCCCAAACCCCTCAGCTTCCTGACCACAGACAGCCACCGTGAACCAGTTTCTTATCTGTTTTTTCAGACATATTCTAGGCATTTAAGAGTCCACTATATTTTCGTGTTTTAATACAGATGGGAGCACCGTTCTTGCTTTCCTAGTAAATAATAGTCTAGCATTCTCATTTCCCTGTCTCTAGATACCAGTCCTTTAGGGGATTTCCCAGAAGTTGGGGCAACTGCATGAGCCTTGGGTTGGTTTGGCACTGGTGACAGTGTGAAAAGAGCCTCCGCCCCCTCCACTGAGCTCAGAGAAAGTTTGTAGTAAAGCCATTTGCAGGGGTAAGGGAGATGGGACCCCATGGGAGCCCAGCAACAGGCTGCCCTAGAAAGAAAAGCTCTGCCCTAGTGGCGATAAGCCAGGTCATTCTGATTCCTGCCCTTGGAAAGATCTACCAGGAAATCATGAGTGACTCAGGTAGGATAAACACAACACAGAAGGCATACAGAGAAGTTGTACATTTGGGGCAATGACGAACCATTAGAAGCTGAAGTTATGAGTAAGCTGAAATTGGGAGGAAGCAGGAACCTTGCATACAGTGAAGCATGAGGTTGGGGGTTGGCGGGGCGGGGGGTGAGGAAGGCTGTTGGTGAGAAGTGAGGGGACACAGAGAAGCAGAAATGCCAGAAGCGGCCGAGTTATACCAATGGCAAAGCGCATGTGAAGGTGCACCAACTCTGGCTGCTGGTCCCCAGAATTGCCCTGAATCCAGCACAGTTCCTGTGAGGCTAGCTCAGCCCTTGTCCCTGTTGCTGGGCTCCCACGTGATCCTGTCTCCTTTACCCTAGCATATGGCTTTACTATAAACTTCCTTTCTCTGAGCTCAACAGAGGAAGCAGAAGCTCTTTTCACACTGTCACCAGTGCCACACCAACCCAAGGCTCATAAGACCTGTCTCCTCAACTTCTGCGAAGTTCCCTAAAGGACAGATATCTAGAGACAGGGAAATGAGAATGCTAGACTGTGTGTTGCTTTGGAATACATTGCTTTGCTTAATGAATTAGTGCACTTTGATGGAGGTCTGCCTCCTAGGGGAGGGCAGAAAGCAGAAACAGAAAGGCAACGGATGATGAGGATCAACTGACGCTTTGCTCATGCTGATCCTTTCCTCTCACCCAGATCCCACCCACCCCTCATGTTCTCTGTTCCACCAAACCTTCCGCTGCTATTCCAACCACATCAGCACTGATCCTTTGGTTTTTTTTTTGTTTGTTTGTTTTGTTTTGTTTTTTGAGTCAGTCCGACTCTGTCACCCAGATTGAAGTGCAGTGGTGCGATCACAGGTCACTTCAGTGGGCTCAAGCAATACTCCCACCTCTGCCTTTCAAGTAGGCAGAACCCCAGGTATATGCTACCATGCCCAGCTAATTTTTTAGGGGGAGTTAGAGGTAGATTCCCACTATGTTGCCCAGGCTGATCTTGAACTCCTGGACTCAAGCGATCCTCTAGGCAGCCTCACAAAGTACTACAGGCACGAGACCCTGAGCCCTGACCTCTTAACGCCTATGGTACATTGCCTGATTGACCCCAATTCTTCATTCCCTTTATCCAGACCTTTTATCTTTCTTTGTGGTTCCTCCCACTAACTGGGCAGAGTACATTTCGCCATCCTTTGACTTTGGGTTTGGCCATACAACTGGCTTTCTCCAATAACACAAGACGGAAGCGATGGGGTGCCAGCTCCCAGGCCTCTTGTACTTCTTCCATCCCTGAGCAAAGGGTGTGCCCAGGCTAGCCCACTATTCCCAAGAGGAAGATAAGCGGCACATGAAACAGAGCTGCCTTGGCCAAGCTCCTCCAGTTCAATCCAGCTTAAATCAGTCCATCCTTAAACATCTAAGGAAATGTTTATTGTTGTACGCCACTGAGCATTTAGGGTTGTTTGAGCAATAGCTGACAACCACCCATAGCACTTACTGTGCGTTTCCACACTTGGTGATTTAACAGCAGTGGACTATTTGTTCATATGTCAAATAATTGTTTCTTTGGGCAGATCTCTCCTGGTTAAGATTGCCAGGTTTAACAAATAAAAATACAGGATGCCCAGTTAAATTTGAATCTCAGACAAACAATTTTTTAGTAGAAATGTGTCCTGTGCAATCTTTAGAACATATTTATACTAAAAATTATTTATTTAAAATTCAAATTTGACTGGGCATCCTGTATTTATCTGGCAATTTTACTCCTATTGCTTGAAGCAGGATATCTTACACAACAGCTGTCAGATCATTTGCACGGTCACCACCATAATGTTGCGAGGGGAAAGATTTGCAAGGACAGAAAGTAAACCTTGAGCATTCTCTTCTCTCCAGTGGCAAATCTACCCCTTACAATAATGGTGATCATGGCTATCGTTTGCCTAGTTAGTCCTTGTGTGGGCAGCTCGTGGGCTATACACCCTATCTAATTTTCACATCGGTGCTGCAACGTAGGGAAGTGGCTAAATCTTTATCCCATTTACAAATGACTACACTTTCCCTTGGTCACACAGCTAGAGAGAGTAGCAAAGCCGGAATTCAAATGCAGCCCTGTCTTTGCACATTGCAATCCTGCTTTCAACCACCGAAGATGTTTCGCTGTGGTTTTCACAAAATGGAAGATGACAAAATATATTCCCCAGCCCTTCATTCTACCCACGTGGGAGGATGGATGACAGGTTGTATTAGTGTCCTAGGTTTGCTGTAAGAATCACAGACTGGTTGGTGTAAATGACAGAAATGTATTTTCTCACAATCCTGGAGACTTGACATCAGAGATCAAGGTGGCAGCAGGGCTGGTTCCTTCTGGGTGCTGTGAGAGAATGATCTATTCCAGGTCTGTGATGGTTCATTTTATGTGTTGATGTCATTGAGGCATTGGATGGCCAGATCTCTGATGAAACCATCTTTCTGGGTGTTTCTGGAAGAGATTAGCATTTGAATTGGTGGACTGAGTAAAGCAGTCTGCCCTCTTCGGTGTGGATGGGCCTCATCCAATCCATTGAGGGCCTAAATGAAACAAGGCGGACTGCGGTTGAATTGGTGCTCTCAATTCAATTGCCTGACTACAGTGAGGTGAGCCGTCAGTCTTCTCCTGCCTTCAGACTGAGACTTCCACCATTAGTGCTCCTGGTTCTCAGGTCATTGCGCTCAGACTGGAATTGATACTACCCACTTTCCTGGGGCACCAGCTTGCAGTTGGGAGATCATAAAACTTCTCAGCCTCCATAATGGCATGAGACAACTCTGTAATAAATGTCATTTTATGTTCTGTTTCTTTGGAGAACCTTAATACAAGGCCTCCCTCCTTGGTTTGTAGATGGCCATTTTCTCCCTTGTCTTCACATCGTCTTCTTCTTACAAGGACACAGTCATACTGGATTAGGATCCCACCCTCATGATCTCAGTGTAACGTAATCGCCTCTATAAAGACCCTGTCTTCAAATAAGGTCACATTCTGAGTTACTGGGGGCTGGGAGTTAAGACTTCAACATATGAATTTTGGGAAGAGAGGGGGACCCGGTTTAGCCCATAAGAGGGTTTGTGGGGCCGTGACTCATCCTAACACAATCTTCATTTAAAAAAGGAACCCAAGGGAATAGATTTCAAATGCTGGAATTCTGAGTTTCACGAGGTGGAACTCTAATTTTTAAAGTAGTCCTCAGAGACAGGAAAGGCCCATCTTGCAGTTCTTAATGTTAGCACCTCAAAGGTGTCACACTCTCCACCCAAGGGGCCCTAGCAACTTCTAGAATGTCAATTATTATGAGGACAGGGGATTGTGATGGTTGCTAGTCTATGGAATCTGGTGAGGCCTAATGTCAGCACCTCAAATGAGGTCCGGTGGCCCCACCTGGCAGCATTCTGGTTTTCTGGATGGCAACAGAAGACAGGGAGATGATGGAAGCCCGGGGTGCGGGAGAAAGTTGCCCGACCTTCCCCAAGATGGTGCCTGGTGACTCCAAGTCTGAAGGGAAGCCAAGGGCTTGTCTGGTAAGGGGGCTGCTGTGTCTCACTACCCCTGCCTATTCCATCAGGGGGAGCAAGAATACTGTAGGAATACATAATAGTAGCTGAGTGCTTAGAGGTTCCAGACAGCTGCCAAGAACATTAGGTGACATGCACTCCACCCCTGTAACTGGCACCCAGCTGTCACCAAGGACCAGATTGCCCTCCATAAGATTGTGAAGTCACGTGAAGCTGGCTTTGGTCTCCTCTATCTCCCTCCCCACTTGGGGCCCTTTCCTTCCTGGGTCGATAGGACCTGGCTCCCCGCCATAGCCCTCTTGCTGGTCCCCAAATATTTAGATTCTCTCAACTCAGACCCTGGGTTTCTTTGTCTCTGTGTAACTTCCTGAAGACCTGGCATCTAACTGGTCTCAAAGTCAGGTGGAGTTGAGGATGGGCCCAGAAGTTGCCTCTTTGATGATTTGAAAAATCACTAGAAAGATAGACATCCATCTCCTCAACTCCCAGTGCCTCTACCTGCAACTTTAGGGCACCATGACTTGGTGCTAGTTTGCCCTCTCCTCCTTGACCCTCAGGTCCTGACAACTCCAGGTAAGAGCACTTCTAATAAGAATTCAGCATAGATCTTTACAATTCGGACACTCTTTCAAACATCCCTGTCCACTGTGGACTGAGGCTGCAGGAGTTCCATGGGGTCGGAACAGCCCCATCCTGACTTCTCACGGTCCTTCCCCTCCCCGCTTTCCCTGCCCCAGGAGGCAGAGTCCCAGAAGCCAGACTACTCCTGTGACCACTTGGAAGAGATGGAAGCTTGTGAGGATGGAGGCTGTCCAGGGCCACCTAAATCGCTGTCCCCCAAGTCCTGCCCTGCCACCAAAGGCCAGGCAGGTGATGGACCCAAACCCGCAGAGCTGCCCCCAGCCCCTGGGACCGAGCACAATGCTGAGATGGACCTGGAGAAGGTGCGCATGGAGTTTGAGCTCACGCGGCTCAAGTACCTGCACGAGGAGAACGAGCGGCAGCGGCAGCATGAGGTGGTGATGGAGCAGCTGCAGAGGGAGGCGTCACCCCACCTGGTGGGTGACAAGGAGCGGGGCACTGGGAGAAGGGAGGCCTGGGGCTCCCAGCTTTGTGCAGCATCCCACCCTGCAGATCCTGGATCTCGGCTGCAAGGGCTGACCATCCACATGGGATGGTCTCCAGCCCTCTCCCCCTTGGGTCACTCACTTCCAGAGATGGCCGCTCACTGCCTTAAAGCCCACTACCCTACCTGACCAGCTCTATTAAACAGAGCTTCCATGCAAAGCTGAGATCTGACTCTCTGAGGAGAGTTGAGGCTGGGAGGGGCCCCAGAACCACATCGCCCACCCAACAGCCCTTTTGGTAGCTTCAGAGAAAAGTCTTCAACACTTCCTCCTCCTTCTACCACTCACAAGTCCTCTCTGCATCTCTTAAAATTTGATGGCTGGAGACTAGACCCAGAATCCCCACTGCAGTCTGGCCAGTGGATTTTGATAGAACCATCACCTCCCCGATCAGGGCTGTGTTTATTCTGTTGGATCATACTGCCTTCTAGTCAACTGAAACAGCCATCTTTTCACAAGAAGTGCACCACTCTCCCCTAATGTGTATGAATGGGGGATAAGAATGCCTACTTGAGATTAAATGGGATATGAAGAGCTTAGCACAGTGACTGGGTGATCATAAGCATTCAATAGTGGAGGATGTTACTGTTTAAAGCAGTGTTTCCTGGACTTTAAGTCAGACAGTCCTGGGTTAAAATACCAGGTATAAACTGCCTGACATTGGGCACATTACTAATCTCCTTTGAGCATGGGCCTTCTCATCCGTGAAGTACCCTACCTCATAGAGTTGTTGTGAGGGTTAAATGAGAGCACACACACAGACACTTTGCAATTAGCCCAGCACATTAGGTAAGCACTCAATAAATGTTAGCTATTACCATTTTTATATACTCATGCAATTCACTTCTTGACCCAAATGCAACAACATACATTTATCACTTTTCAGTTTTATTGGGATGTGATGTATTAGCTATGCTTCCCAGCTCTGAGTCATCCTTAATTCTGAGAACCATGCCTTCTGCCTTTATCCAAGTCATTGCTGTAACTGTTGAGGAGGATATGACCTAAAGTAAATAACTTTCCACCTTATCTAAAAAACTGAGACTGTCAAATGGTTTCCCAAAATTAAGATATTACATTACCTATAGCATTTCCCCAATTGACTGGTGAGGTTTGTTTGTTTGTGTTTTTTTAAGAAAGTAAGGTTGGCTTTGCATCATTTGTTCTTGATGAACACATGCTGGCTTCTTAAACAATGATCTGTTTTCCTGTTCACAAAATACCTGCTTCATTATACATGAAATGATTTCACTAAACCCAGTCAAGCTTATTGAACTGGGATTTCCAGAATCTTCCCCTGCCCCCCACCCCCTCTTAGAAAGTCTAGAAAATATTTGCCTATTGCTTAGACTTTGGCACATTTCCTAATATTTTTGAATTCTAAGTTACATTTCAAAACTTGTGACTTTTCTCAGTGGCCTGGGATAAAATCTGTCACAAAGTGGAGCCTGCAACTATTTAAAGCAGATATGATATTGTAACTATGCCTTTGGCCTGTGTCTCCTCCTAACTGTATTTATTTCCCCCCCTTTTTAGTTTGAAAATATTTCTTCTTGCTGGATGAGATGGAAATCTTTGGTATACAGTCCTATCTCTCGCTTCTGCTCAAAAACTAGAACACTGAAAGTATTTTGAAAAGTAAAGAGTTTCATTAACATATTTTTAAAAATGAAAGTCATAATAATCACCCATCAGCATTTTAGACTGAAACACATGCAGACTGCAGAGAAGTGGCCAAGTCCGTGGGTCCAGTGCCCTCCTGCGCCTGCAGAGAATCGTCGGGTCAGTCCCACCCTCCACTCCCACTAGAACACTGGATTGCTTCCTCTGGTCTCCAACCTTCCTAGCTCTTCACTTTCAAGGCAGCATCACCAGAGTCATTTCCTGTCCCCTCAGCTTTGTTTAGTTGCCCTCAAATTTTATGTGGCTGTTTCAATAGTGATGTGTCCCATCCCCCAACCTTTGGTGATAGTTTACAAAAGTGTTTACTTTTTGTGTACTTACTAAAAATTGGAGAGTTGACTTGATGTTGAAGACTTCTTTTTTTCTGGGTGGGTGAATAGATGGATGGACAGGTAGAATTTATTAAACTGAAAATACCTCTGAGTGTGTTTCTAGCTAGTTTAGGGCATCTTGGTCCCTTCCAAAAATATGGCATGATCTTAAAAAATATTTTAAAACATAACTCATGGGTTATGCCCTCTTAACTATGGATCAAAATAATATCTTTGCCTTACTTATGCATCGATAATTTTTTACAGTTAAAATGAAGACTGTTGGACCCCAATTATATAGATTCAAAAAAAGAGCAACTCGCAGGCAGAATTAGCTAGACAACTCAAGCTGCTTTCCCCCAGCCCAATACTCTGAAAGTTTAGGGAGACCCCATCACCCATCTCTCAGCACCTACCTCCAGGAGAGACCAAACCCTGGACTGAAAGGCCACAGATTGACCCACGTGATCCGTGTCAGGACCCAGGGAGTCGGAAATAGTTGTTCACATGCAAGGGACACCCTCTCATTGGGCCACTGTCCAAGAAACTAGGTTGAATGTTAGGGCACTGTCAGAGAACACTCCCAAGACCCAGCATCCAGATGTGGGGCTCCTGGAGTCAGGAGAGAAGGCCCATGCATGGACTCCAGTGGGCAGTACGGAGCATAAAGAGAAAGAAAGGTGGTGGCCTGGTGCCCAGTCAGGAGTGATAAGAACAGCTCAAAAAAGTAAAAAGTAATGAGTTCCTTCTATGTGGTAGTTACCTGACTAGGAATGTTCCATTATCTCACTTTTCCTCCTTGTGATCTTTTGGGGGTTTTTTAAATTTTTTTTAGAAACAGGGTCTTGCTCTCTCACCCAGGCTGAAGTTAGTGGCATGAGCATAGCTCACCATAACCCTGAACTCTTGTGCTCAAGTGATCCTCCCACCTCAGCCTCCCAATAGCTGGGACTATATGCACACACCACCACACTTGGCCAATTTTAAAATTTTTTTGTAGAGGCAGAAGTCTTACTATGTTGCCCTGGCTGGTCTTGAATTCCTGGCCTCAAGCAATCCTACCACCTTGGCCTCCCCAAGTGCTGGGATTATAGGTATGGGCCACCATGCCCAGGCCTCATAATCTTTTTGTAAAGGGCACTATTGCCCCTTCCTTAGATGAAGATGATGACCTGAGGTCACATACACAGGCAGGGACAGAGCAGGACTGAACCTAGATCTGCCTGGCGCTAAGACTGGCATCACCAGCTCCGCTGTCTTCTCTCCCCTACAGTTCTCAGGAGGCCTCCAGGACCTCCTGCTGCCCCAGAACCAGTTTGCCATGTTCCTGTACTGCTTCATCTTCATTCACATCATCTATGTCACCAAGGAGATGGTCTTCTTTCTCTTCTCCAAGCACTACCTGTTCTGCATCGCGACCATTTTGCTCTGTTTGATTAAAACTTTCTGGTCATACTTCCAAGTGCCTTTGCTCTCTCCATCACTAGGACCCTCACCCCTGCCATGCTAGAGTGTTATCAGTGCGTGATCTCAGCCTCCCAGCACCTCCTTTTATCATTTTGTGCCTCTGTCCAATCAGAATCCACTCTTAGGAAGGGCACTGCTGCCCAGCATTTCCACCTGAGAGTGAAGAAACATGTTCATGCCCCTTAGGCAGAGCCTGAGTTCTCACTGTGGACATGATGTTTTGTCCCAAGAGGAAGATTTCAAATGTTAGCAGGTCAGGGAGGTTTCTGCAGGGAAGGAGGGTTTAGAACACCTTTCTAAAATCACAGAAGCACACCATGACCAAGCTGGCTTTGGTTTCACATCTACTCATGTCCATAGATCCCTGAGGGTTGGAAAGCCTGTGGTCTGCTTGGAGACAGCCCCTCCATCTCCTGCAAAGATGTCTATGTCCTAATCCCCATGAATATGTTACCTTACATGGTAAAAGAGCCTGAGATTTGATTAAGGACCTTGCAATGGGGAGATGATCCTGGATTATCCAGGTAGGCCCGTGGTAGTCACAAGCGCCCTTATAAAAGGGAGGCAGGAGGCTGAGAATCAGAGAGATGTGACCATGGAAGCAGGGGGCAGAATGATGCAGGGCTGTGGGTCAGGGAATGTGGGAAGCCTCTAGAAGCCAGGAAAGGCAATAAAGGGATTCTCTGCTAGAGCCTCCGGAGGGGGCCCTGCGCTGCTACCCCACATTAGACTCCTGACCTCCAGAACGTTAGGAGAATATGTCTGTGTTATTTTAAGCCGCTAAGTTTCTGGCAATTTGTTACACCAGCCACAGGAAACTAATGCAGGAGCCAAGACTCCCAAGCGCTCTCCAGCTGTGCCAACATGGCAGGATACCATCACCAGGCCACTGGCCAGGCTTCATTTAGCACTGGGCCTGAGCAGACTTGTACACAGCTGGACTTGAGACAGCATATGGTTAAAAAGGAGAGGCAGTGAAGCTCCAGAGAGCCCGGCATAGGCCTAGCTGAACCCGGTGGACAAGGGGTATCCGTATCACTGAGCTGTGTATCCTCTGGGTGAGGCATGTGGCAAAATAAAGGCATACTTCTAGGGGACATAGGGAAGAAGGAATTTAAGTGCCTGATTGGGCCCAGAGGACATCATTAATTCTACTCTATTGGAAAGCTGGAAATGGCAAAAGAAAAAAAAGTTGGCACATGCACTTACCTGCTAACCCAAGCACAGACTTACAAAAATGCAGAAAATCTAACCCAGAAATAAATACACTGACACAGAGATACAAAACAAGTATACAGTTGTCCACAGTGGAGAGGTTCACAGCCCCTCAAATAAACATACAACCACCCACAGGAACAGACTTGGAAGACCAGAGGGCTCATGGTCAGGCAAAAAGTGAAGCTGCCCCGCATGTATGCAACAAAGAAAAGGGGTTCGCATCCCTGAGACACCAGCCCCTCCTCCCTTCAGCACACACACAGGCCTTGCAGACTGTCAGCTGCTCTGAGCCCAACAGCCAGCCACGATGGCTGGCTGTGCCACAGGACACTTTAGTGATAATGTGGCAAACTGAACGAGGCTGGACACAGCTGTGCAATTAATCAAGTCTTTGTTGACCCCTTCTCTCCTCTGGCATAGGGCTCTGCCTTAAGAGGGACAAGAGAATAAGTTTCTGTTTCATTGGGCTCTGAGTGACTCTCAGTAAAATCACGTGAAAAAAACAACGACTGCCTTGGGACTTCAATGTCAGCACACATTACCATGTCATTTAAGTCCATGGTGACTTCTCATTTTCCACCCAACTCCATATAGCCCTCCCCATTGATAGCTGCATGTGACAGGTACTTAATTTGGAAGTGATAAAAGTGTCATTTCTCATTAAACTTTCAAGGATGGGACGTTGTGCTATGGGGTCACTTCTTCCAGTCATTTTATTTGATCTGGGTTTCTGCCCCATGAGGTTGAGGTGAGAGAGATGAAGATCAGATGGCAAAAAATTTAAGTTCCACCTGTTTACCTTCTTTCAGCAGACAAAATCGGGCATTTATGAAACAGACACGCAAACCAAAAAACAAGTGATATAAGGTCATTTAATCCATCCATCTGTTGCCAGGTAAAACTAGATTTCAATACATTCATTTTTCTTAATCTTCAGAGCAAGTAAACTCCCATGAGCAGTTAAGTGAGCATCTCATCCCACATCTTTTGACATAGGCATGAAATCTACTCTTCCCTATTGTGTTTGAACACCGAAGCCCGTAACCTAAGATCTGTCCTCTAGGAAAATGAGACAACTCATGGCCACCCCCTAAACTTAGAACAGATGTTCTGGTTCAAATGCAAACCAGAAAAATCACGAGAGAGAGAGAGAGAGAGAGAGAGAGAGAGAGAGAGAGAGAGAGAG